TATATATATATATATATATATATGCATTTTTGTTTGAAATCAATAATTAAAAACAAAGTCTTCTTTCTCGATTGTGGATAACATTTTTATCTGAGTTACTATCCTAATCGTTAAATTAACTGTAAACGTATTACTAGTGCACAAATCTATGCATATATATATATATATATATATTACAAGCATTTTATGGCAAAATAGTATCATATTAGAGTGTATCATTTGTAATAAGAAAGAAGCTGGTGGCTTGAACTAGTTCTACTAAATAGTCGATATGTAAGCCCGGTCCTCGTCCTCTATAATGTTTACTACATGCACATCCAACAAAAAAACATTAAAAATATGAATCGTAATACGTACTTGTGTATGTGCGTGTGTGAAGACAAAAAAAAGAGGCCGAGAGAGAAAGAGCTATAGAGAGTGTTTGTATGTCTTCATACTAGCTGTTGAAGTCCATAAACAAAGGTAAATATTAACACCCAATATCCGGTGAGGTTGTAGGGCCTAAAGGACCATGTGAAATTATTTCTCTTCAAAACGTAATGCCGTAAACAGTTTGTTATTTAGTTGTATTGTCGTAGATGTTAAACAGCAGTCTAGAGTACCCATGCACTCGAAGTGGCCTAAGGCTTCCACGTCAGTTATGTTTCTCAGTTCTGGATGTACATTTCCTCTCCCTTTCTTTCTTTTTGTCAGCGGTTCAGCGAGGAAGAATGCCTCCAACCCAACCGAACCCGGGCCAGTACGCGCTAACGAACGGGGATCCTCTGAACGGTCATTGCTATCTCTCCGGATACATCTCGTTACTACTTCGGGCCGAGCCTTATCCTACTTCTCGCTATGGCAGCCAGTGCATGCAGCCCAATAATATTATGGGGATCGAGAACATCTGTGAGCTTGCAGCTCGCCTGCTCTTCAGTGCTGTGGAATGGGCGAGGAACATTCCTTTCTTTCCCGATCTGCAGATCACCGACCAGGTGTCCCTGCTCAGACTGACATGGAGCGAGTTATTTGTGCTAAACGCGGCTCAATGCTCCATGCCCCTACATGTGGCCCCACTGCTCGCCGCCGCCGGCCTGCACGCCTCGCCTATGTCGGCGGACCGCGTCGTGGCCTTCATGGATCACATTCGTATCTTCCAGGAGCAGGTCGAGAAGCTCAAAGCACTTCACGTCGATTCTGCAGAATACAGCTGCATTAAGGCAATAGTGCTCTTCACGTCAGGTGAGTGTGTGAGACGAGGCCTACTCACAGACATAAGAGGCAATGCATACGGGGTGGATAAGCTTCGGCATTGACGCTATAGCTCACTAGCGGGTCTCGAGCTGACTTTGTACTGTAAAATCTCTTAAGCGCACAAGTTATGAAGTGGTAATTCAAATGTGATCGATTCAAAGCCATTCACAAATCTTTCGTATTTAATGTAATGCAAAATGTCACATACTATTGTGGTCAACACGGATGATATTTTTAAAGTTTTATATTTGTGAAGGTTGACAGATATACATAAAATTCAAAATATCAGCTTGAATATGGATTTCACATTAATTCTATGTGTTTGTAAAATATTTAGGCCAATATTTGTACAATCAAGTGCACATCTTGTTCAGAATATCTTTCCTAAATCTGCTCAACCACTTTGGTTCACAGTTGTACATGAGGCCACAGTGTGCATACACAAATATACATCTGGGGCCCTCTCTGTTGAGAAAAGGTGACTACCAAGGCCTTTATTATTAATAATTGATTTTAAGCTTGGATTATATTTTTAAATGATATTTTATATCAATGCGCAGATATACCCATTAGACTGGTGTCTGTCTATTTATTGACGGGTTAATTTGCCAAATAGTTAAAAATGAGCTATGCTGTAACAATTTTAACAAAACATTGATCGACACCAAATTACCCTCATACCTCTATAGCATTGTAATTGATGTTTATAATATAGTAGTATTTCTTTCGTCAACAGACGATTAAAAATATAATGTTGTTAATAAGGTTTAAGCGGACTGTTGTTTTTAATAGTAACCTATTACACTACTTATGTATTTTATGTCTTAGTTATGATTTGATCTTCGTAGGCTATTATTTAAATTAAGTTTATTATATTATTAGTATTAGCATTATTTATTTTAGCAGTTGGAATTATATACCTACGTTTTGTATATATAATTCTTTGCAATTAAAAAACGGCTGTGAAACAATACAAGCATAGCTTACTGGTAATGTTGTGTAGTGTAGCCAATAAATTTGTAGTCTTGTTTGCCTTAAGGTGAAATTAGAAGAGGCGTTCGAGTTAAAGTAGGCCACGGTCGCTTGGACACTTTGTGTATTGCCTTAGTTTTCAGAAATATGCGTTAGGCTACTGTTGAATGTGTATGGCATGCCAAATCTTATTTTTAATGTTTTGAACCTCTAATCTATCCCACCGAAATGTAAAGTCGTAGCATATTTGTTTCTCAGTGACGTCAGTCTCACACGTTACCTTCCTTGCCATTCTTAACAATGAATTGCTTACAAAGCACTCCGATATTTTGGGTCTGGACTGGGTAGCGAGTCAGAACAACTCGATAAAAGGATTTCCTAATCCGTAAGACGTGAAAGCAGTATGTTTCAATAATAACTAGCCTAAATATTCTGATTTGTTGCCAGGCCGAAGTGCTGCATAAAGTTTTGGACCTATGGTCTATATGTTTCACGTGATGGATTAATAATTAATAATGCGCCGCTTGGTTTTAGGTTATTGTATTTGATCTCAGTGTGTTCTAGTCCAGTGCAATTAAGATGTGTCTCCGAGGCATGCTGCACACCACGCCCTTACACTTTAAGACTTAAACCGACGAAAACGTAAACTGTTATTTTGAATATATGTTCAACACAGCCGCCATATTAGAATACTGACAGAATACGTATTGGCCTACGTATCAGTAATACATGTGATTGCTTCCAGCGGCCTTGCCTCCTCCTCATTCAGACTCACAGCAGAAGCAACTGCTGGTACAGAGAATCGGGCGAGAAATGACTCGGTAGCATCTGGAGAGCAATTAGGTCATCATTTGGTTATTACCATGCCCAATTCTCTGTCAAATGTGTAGCTGGATATTCTATATGTGACTATATTAAAGGCGCACAAGGCATGAGCGCCTTCTCCATCCTCTTCAGTCGAGCTTACTACAGTATGCACCCTTGTCCCAGCGTCCTCTTTGTTTAGTCTGATTTGTGAGCGTGCATGCGGTATGTCCTCTTACAACGCAGGGAGTACGTTCTGCTACTCTTGAGGGATTGCACAGACGTATTGTTTATTTATATTACAAGCAGCCTCGTACGCTGCGTGATGCATGATGTTGGGATCGTGTTTGTTCATCTCACTTTGTCAACAACACGTAATGCTGATGCTGAATGATAACCTGGGCCTCTTTTCTGTGCTGTGTTTTGTCTACTCAGACGCTTGCGGCCTGTCAGATGCTGCACACATCGAGAGCCTGCAGGAGAAGTCTCAGTGCGCCCTGGAGGAGTACGTGAGGAGCCAGTACCCGAACCAGCCCAGTCGCTTTGGCAAGCTTTTACTGCGACTGCCTTCTCTCCGCACTGTCTCTTCGGCTGTAATTGAACAGCTGTTCTTCGTTCGCTTGGTAGGTAAAACTCCCATTGAAACCCTCATCAGGGATATGTTATTATCCGGGAGCAGCTTCAACTGGCCCTACATGTCCATTCAATGATCCGAATGAGCGAGTGAAACAAAAAGACTGAAGGACCAAATTTCTGCAAGCCCTTTCATGAAGACTATATATATAGGACTTCATTTCTGACCACTTTAGGAAGACACTCTTTTTTGTCTTCTGGGACCGAGATGGAATGTGTAATGTACAAAGATTAAAGAACTGGACGTACTCCCATGTAAATCCATCGCCGTCATCAAGAACACTCTCCATTTTGTAAAATACTAGTCTTTATTTTAATTTTTCTTTTCTTTTTTTGTAAAGAACAAAATACGTACAAATAAAATGAAGAACATCATATGCGCAGTAAATGAGCAAGACTTAGCGGGAAAGAAATTTCCAAGCAATTATAAGAAATGTCCTGTGTCTATGTATCTGTTTTGTATTTTTTCTGGTTCTAAACCATTTTTTTTTCTGTGATTCTATACTAATGATTTTTGATATAACCTTTTGCTTCTTATAATGAGTGCGATATATGTTGTTGAAGATATGTTCTCCGAGAATTAAAATTGAAGTGAGAATTTAAAGAAATAAAGAAAAACATTAGACAAATAAGATGCAGTCTAATCGCAATGACAATTTCACTGATGGTTGAACCTTCCCTCACTTGATGCTATGGACATGCAACTTCGGCAAATCTGACCTCATGGACATTTTAAGGAGAGGACACCGGTGAAACTTTTTTCTTGGTCGTGTGTGTGCGAGTGTGTGAGTCAATCATCAGTCAGAGATAAAAGACATGAAAATCAAAAGCACTTTTAATATATCATTTTCAAATACATTTTGTTTGTTTTGTCTTGATATTTTCGCTATTTCTTTTTTTTTATTATTGTATGTTGCCTTTCATTTTTGCTCAATCCATGATATGCCTGTGCAGAAGGGTCGCGTGAAGTTGTGTGATGGTGACTATACTATTAAAAAGGAAATAGGCAACACTGTCTCGCTCTCAGCAAATTCAATGTTTTTGATGCAGTTAATGAGCTGTTCCAATAGGAGCTGTTCCTATTTGGGATGTGCTTTTACATGATGCATATTTCTGTTTGCTAAGGAAGGCCAACTAAAACCCATAGCTTTGTTTCATTTTTGTTACGCTGACCTGTATGTTGACATAAAATTTCAAGCCCGTCAAGAATTGTTTCGAAATACTGCAAAACCTCTATAAGTAGAATACCACAGATGTTATAAATGCAAGCATTTGATTACTTTTAGTGGCATATTTATTCTGTGTGCATTTTGGTGAGCACGTGAGTTTTATGTATTATCTGGAGTCTCCGCGTCGTGCTCAGAATAAGATTTCTGTGACGTTGCTACCGACTGGTTCAAAGATCTTTTCCTGTTTCAGCGCATTAATGTTTAATATTTTTCCCAGGCTGAACTGGCTTGCTCATAGTCAAAGAGAAGATATAAAGAAATACCGTCCCTCTAATAAGACAATGAGGGTTTCTTCTTAAATCACTGCAGTTTTTAAAAAAAAAAAACGAAGTGGAGGGGAAACAATTACATCTAAACTCGCAGACTAGCCTACTATTACTTTGAGGTGATCGCGAACGGATCTGTTTTAGGACATATGTTTTCACAAGGAACGCAGCAGCAGTTATATGTGTGATCAATCTAAGATATGTATAATTCCGCATGTAAACCGGTCGATAGGAGCACTAAATGTGATGTATTGTACCGAGATAGAGAGAAATTCATGTGCAGCCTCGTGTGATTGGTTAGAACCACGAAAGGAAATCACTTGATGCACAGACGTGCGCGATTGTCCTTCATATGCACGTAAATACCTTTCACGTGTGATGTTTACTGTGGGAAGGAGGCTGTTTTTGTAAGTACTGTGACAAGAACTTTCGCTGACCCCAATGCCACTGAAATTTTTACCGAGCGCTGCACTTTGTATTCAAGCAAGTTCGTTACACGTTGTCTCCCATAAAAAGAGCATGACATAATCACAAAAATAAAGTGCGGGTTTGGCCATGCCCTAATTATTCGTGATTCAGACTGTTTTTCAATGAACCTTCCAGGTAATACTGGCGTTGACATGTTTCATTTAAATAATCTAATCGCTTATAGCGCCCTTAAAAGCGATTTGAGGTTCAGCATGTGAGATGGATTCAAAAGGACTTGCAAGAAGTCACTTAGGCTAGACAAAATACTCTGTTGTATTGTTATTCGAAATATATATGTTCGATGGGGAAGATTCATAGAATGGCGCTAATTCTATGAATCTTGCAATGCACAAGGGAATTTTGCTGATTTTATGGAGGACAAGTAGAGAGACTTTGTTGCTAGAAACCAGGCATTTTCACAATAGGATATGGTCCTATGTGTGGCGATATGGTCAATGTGCTGTCGATTTTTAAATCAAAGTCAGTAGGCCTGAAATTACCCAAATATGACAACAAAGGCAAGTGTGCCCTTGTTTTCTTATATAATGCTTCGAATAAAGTGTTGACCATCGCATTGAGCTGAAACTTAAAACACTTTCATGTTCTGCAGTAATGAGATCAAAATCCCTGAAGATTTCCCCCTCTATTTCACGGGGAATATCAGAATAAGAGGAACACATTCTTTTGAGATTTACATTTGTTGGACTTGAGGCTATATAAAGCAATAGTTGCTAAGGACTGAATTCGTGCCATGTGTTTCTAATTAACAAAGCAAAATTTATCCATAAAAGAACATGAATCATATGCAACAAGAAAATGGCTATTCTACTGTAGTCTCTGTTTGAGATGCATGTCAACATATGTTGCATACTAATGCACGATATTTGAATTTAGCCTTCGTTATTTGTTTTATACTGCGAACATTTTAAATGCGCATGATCTCATGATTGTCAGTCAGTGTTTTCAGACGATTTCTTCACTTAGATCTAAAGTGGGTTAGGAGGTTAGCGTGGCAGTTTTACCTCATGAAAAGGACTGCCAAAGTACGGAGACACATACAGTTTCCCTACAGAAAATAAATAGTCACTGCGGACTTGGAATGTAACTGTTGTTAGCTTAGTCACGCTTGAGTGTTTATCTGACACATTTAGGATATTCGGACATAATTTATGGTTTTTGATGATATCTGTGTGGAGGGGAAGAACAGAGACCTAAAAAATCACTAGACATTATAAGTTATTTCGATCTGGGCCTGTGGTCATCACACTGGTATATTCAAAGTAAGCTAAATTTGTGTTGTTTCTTTTCATTTATTAACCTTCATGTGAATGGGACTTGATATAGTTGTATTTATTTAAACGTGACTATTTGTATCTATCTATCTATCTATCTATCTATCTATCTATTATCTATCTATCTATCTATCATCTATCTATCTATCTATCTATCTATCTATCATCTATCTATCTATCTATCTATCTATCTAATCTTTACATGCAGTCATCCTTCTATTCAGCAACACACATTATATGAAACTTACTGATAACGTATAGTGTTAAATTCAAGTGGAAGGTGATGTGGGGGAAGCTAATGTTTAAAAAAAAAACATTGTTTGAAAATCTTTGCACTTTAATTACACAAATTGCTTCTTTACATTATGCCACAGATGCCATATGCAGGCTATAACGATACATTTCTGTTAACATTCTCAATGATCACTGCATAATTCTACGTCCACAGAGCTCCCAGCAAGCTTAAGCCGTGGATCAAATCCAACACAACAGGATATAAAATATCCCCAGTTGTGAACGTAACATAAGGCGACGCCTGTGCTTGCATGTGTGTGCGTGCGTGACTTCGTTGAACCGTAGAGTTGTGTCGTATGTGTGTTCCACTTCGAGAGTGTGTGTGTGGTCGGGCCTGTTGCGATGTGGAGGCGAGAAAGCACAGATCGCTGTGTAAGCGATCCCTTTGTGTTGATTTAGGTAGACGTTTGCTGTATATAACGTTCAAGGCTGATAATATCATTGCCTCGCCAGATAAATAAAGCTTTGGCCAAACCATCGGGTCAGCTATCGATCCCTTCTGCGTGCAGAGAGAAAGGGAATGAGACGGCACAGGGACAGAGAAAAAGAGGGGGGTCTCTTATTAGCATTCCATACCCATGACCGACCACTGACAAGTAAAAGAGATATCTAGCTCAACGCCATACATCTCCTGCTCTGCATACTTTGCATTGCATAATAAAGTTCATTAGGCTTATTGTCACTGACAAGCAAAGGGGATATGGAAATTCAACAAAAGTACGACAAATAAAACTACATCGTTTGTATTATTATTATATAATTATAAATGCAGATAATTTGTGAAAACACAATTACATTTCCTAATTTGATTTCTGAGTGTGAATAACATTTGTAAATAAAATTAAGTTTTTAGATGGGAGATTTTTTGCGAAAAAAATAGCGTCATAGTTATGCAAACAACTTTCTTTTTTTACACGAAGCAGCTGATTTTTCTTCTTAAAGTGTGGCAACAAATTTATAGCCAATTGTTTCTAAGGAAACGCATGTAAATATAACTATTTACAGTTTCTTAAGACATGGAGCTTTCCCACAAGGGAATTGTTGCAAGGAAACCCACAACTGAAACCGCACTGAAATCTTGTCCAACAATGACAGCTTTTTATCATTTAGTCAGAGTTTTCTCCAAAGGTTTTTTTTTTCTCACTCCCACCCATCGTCCCGTCTTTATCTTTCTTTGTTGTTTTAAAATATGCATGTCTCTCCGGAATGCTAGTCACGGGTCCAAACTTTGCGTCCAACCTCCCACATGAAATGATCCCCCTTAAAGGGGGCTCAATATGTCTCAATCTGCACTTCAGTTCACTCAAAGCATTTGGGTACAGGGGACAGACTCCAGAAAAGCATAAATTAAAGGACAAGTCACCGAAGAGCGACTTTATCAGCACGTCATGACGAAGAGTGGAGTCAGCGACAGCAAGATTTTGAAGTATTTGGCAGATGTCCTCCAAAAAACAAAAGTAAGAACATTTGTTTTCATTTCGTCCCCCTTAAACGCGCGCGCGTGTGTTAGTCAGGGCTCCCGATTGCGCGCGGCCGTGGAAGTGTGTGCGTGCACGCGCGTCGTGGTAGAATAGCTCAGTAGAGCTAGAGAGAGCGTGGAGGAGGAGGAGGGAGAGAGCTCTGTGGGAAAGCAAGAGACGAGAGGATGTCTCGACGTGCGTGTATGTATGACTCCGACTGTCATTAACAACAAATCAATCAACACGTGGCATTTAAACTCGAGACTGCCAGTTTTCCGTGTTTGTCTGTGTGCTGAAGAAATAAATCATTGCTGGAAAAGGGAGCTTTGGGGAACGGAAAATTTGCTTTGAAAGGAAAATGTAAAAGGAGGTAACCGAGGCGAAGCGACAGACAATTTTAACTGCGAAATATAAAATACACTTTCTGTCTTATTTTTAATAAGAGAAATGACGCCGAGTGATTACGATACTCGGCAGTAATTAAACTAAAACTTAGATTTCCGGAGATAATCGTGAATTTGTTGATTTTAAGAGTTATCAATAGTCTATTACAATCCTCGATACTCTGTCTGGAAGAAATTAAAAGCCTACTTGTTACCGAGATTCATAGCTAGAAAGCGGACAGCTTTCTTCATTCAGTTTCCCTTCAAGTAAGCATGCTGACGTCAGATTATCGTGAGACCTTCAAGACAAAGCGGATGTAATTAGTGCATTTATTCAGTGATGCAAATATGTTTCCATAGACATACACTAGCACATTTTCTGATCCCTACCACTTGGGCAGTAAAGAAATGCCGTTGCTACATACCTGATAACGT